CTAAAGTAAAGAACAAGTCAATCAGAGATTGAGATTAAGCATCCTGACCTAGCACTCTGTAGTCTTTGATATATATCTCTTAATTTCTCTCCTCATTTTATAACAATGTTTGTATAAAACCAACATACTACATTTTACATTTGGTTTAACTACCATAAGAAATGAATGTATTTCAATAACAGGATGTTCGTAATCTTCAGTAATTCTCTGAAAGGAAGATCAAAAATCTACACATAAAAAGTTACTCATCTTCTGAATTACTTTGAAACTTTGGAAAGACCTCTTGAATTACTGCCTTACTTTGTAGTTTGTGGTAAGTATATTTTCTGATTCTATAGGCTTTCAAGATCAGTTGCATGAAAATAATGGATTTTTCTGGTTAATATCTTTAATAAATACTAAAATACCATAGGTTAAAAGTAAAATCTAAATCTGTATATTGTCTAGGATATAATCCCTGAGTCAGCTCCCTGTGAGGATGATAATCAAGCTACGGGTGTGTGTGTGTGTGTGTGTGTGTGTGTGTGTGTGTGTGTGTGTGTGTGTGTGTGTGTGTGTTATGCACACCTCTATAAATATGAACAAAGAAAATGAGAGGTGAGAGCACTGTTTAAAAATGATAGACTATGCTTCAGATATTTTTTTCAGGAGTGAGGCTTAAGGAGGTTGGCTTAGGGTTCAAGAAGTGCTGGTCAAAGGCCAAGTTCACACATCATTTGTATGAAACTCAATAATGAGTCTATCTCTTAAACACAGAGGAGTCAGATGCACTGTCACTCCAATGTCAAGACACTACAAGTGGATTTTTTTCAGTTCTCTCCAATGTTCAGTTGCTACTGTGAGCCGTCAAATCAGTCTGTTCTTAGTGCTGAAGTTTTAGCCCTGGCTTTCTCCTATTGGATCCAAGGATCAGGCCCAATTACTAGCAGCCTTGATGGTTTCACATGAATTTAAAATGACATAATTAATGAGCCTTACCTTCCTGATAACAATAAAGAAACATGAAGAAGATATGTATGCAACACATACATGCATTCTAACATCACACAGGATCCTTAAATCTGCATAAGTTCATGTGTGAAAGATACAAATAACCAGTCACTAAATAAAGGGAAAGGACAGGACATGTGGGAAAGATTGCTCAAATACTGACTATAGATTTTGTTGGTGGACTTGATTCTTTGAGTAAATGGGGAGAGGCTGCAAAGTGAGCTGAGGACACAAGGGAAGAATCTGAGGGAAATTAGTTCAGGTCCTAATCTAGGCATTATTGGCAACTATTCACATAAAAGTCAGCTAAAAACAAAAAACTCATGGCAATGGAGATAATCAGCTTGCTCACCCAATGGAATGGCTCTTTTTATGGGTCTATCTTGAGGTGATCTGTTCCCCACATATTGGGAGCTTCTACCTAGATGAGGCCAAACAGCTGAATCAAGGAAAAAAGCATGAGTCTCAGTAGCAAGCTGAATGTGTTGAGCTACTGACTAAAACAGCAGTTGCTTTTCTTGTGAAAATTCATGCAATTAGGTTTGAAAAAGTGTTTCTCAATGCTAACCTGCTTTAAAGAAAAGAAGAATCTTGTCACACTAAAATTTCTCAGAGCAACTGACTAGACTGGAAAATTATTTTATTTGATTTTAGATATTTTTATAGTCTGTGTAACCTTCTGCACCACCTCTCTCCTGGGAAAACCCTCTGATGTGACTTTGATTCTGTCCTTTGCAGTACATTTCATTGGCATACTAGGGAGGAAGCACGGAGAACTGAAAAGGTTAAGGTTTGGGAGGTAAATCCTAATTCAAACTTTGGTTTTATGTTTATTATTTTATATCATCGGAACCTAGAAGTTACTTATATTCTCTGAACATTTATATTTCCAAATCCATAAAACAGGCCCAATAAAACCATCCCACCAGGCTAAGTTTTCTTATGCCTGGCATATTACATGGCTTATACTAGCAGCTCAGTAAATATACGTCCCTTCTCCCACACACATGCAATGGGGTTTACATGCGACATCTTTCTTAACAACTCCAAAGATCAGCAAGATAATACAGATAAGAGAAAAATATCCTAAAAGAACAACCTTCTCACATTGAATCAGGCTCTTGGCTTTGCTCACTATTCTAAATCTAATGGCAATGAGCCTCACTGTTGAGAAGAATCAGGTACTCATTAGTCAGACTTGGGCTCAATTGCTGGGCTGAGAATGCCCAGTAGAACCAATTCTAGGAAGGTGACCTAGTTCACAGTGTTGGACAAACATCTTGCCACATGGATTTGAACTTCTGCTATCTAAGTTATATTAGTGCAGACTGGAAAGATATTTGTGATGTTTACTTTTTGCCTCAGATACACTCTTTCCTGGAACCTGCATCCTGCTTCAAATTCTTGGTTTTCCAAGCTTTCACTTATTTTTTGCAGCCTGGTCTATGCCTGAGCTTCCTGCTCCACTATCTCAAGCAGTGGTTTTGAAATGCCAGCCTATGCACCAAGGTTGCTGGCATAAAAACCATCCTGAGAGGTTTTGAATAATATGCCTTCTCACATTCTACTCCCAGGGAATCTGATCCAACAAAGTCAGAAAGAGGGCCTGGTTAACCACACTATACACAAATCATTCTTATGTGCAGTTAAGTTTGCAAATTATGCTTAGAAACTTTTTTAACATGAAATTCAAAAAGTATCCTTTAGGACCTTTTTCCCCCTCAGTCTATCCCAAAAAAATGTATTTTATATTTTGCAGGTTCATCAACAATTTCATACGTGCTTCCCCTTCAATATCTTAGGTAAAGGACATTTTATGCCATAAGCCAAATTTTGAAAAAAAAAATCAAAATTTAGAAATGACTCCATCTAGTCTTTATAAATGTTTCTGACCCTACATATTATGGTTGCAGATCTGTCATCCTCCTCCCCTTCTCCTGAAGAGAGGCATGGTAGCTATAAAGGATATACAGTCAATTAAAGTTTAGAAGCAGAACCAATGAACCATCATTATGTGCTGAATAAGTAATAACAAAACCACAAACAAAACCACTAAAGGCCAAGTATTACCCTAAGCACTTCACACAGTATGCCAGTTTCAACATTCCCAATTATAAATATAAACTGTTACATGCTGTATAACAATGGGGTTATATATAATGAAATGTATTTTAGGTGATTTCAGCACTGTACAAACATTGGAGAGTATACTTACACAAACTTAGATTGCTACATCTTCATTAAGTAATACAATTTTATGGGACCACCATCACATATATATGGATTCCATTCTTGACCAATTTATTATCATGTGGTGCAAGACTACACTAGCATTATTATTCATGCTATACTCATGAAGAAACTGAGACACAGAGAAAGTAGCCTGCCAAAATTCACACAGTTAATAAGTGGCTGAGGAAGACAAAAAAGCGTAAGACTTCACAGAAATTAGGGAATTTGTGAAGGCATGAGACTGTAGCAGAGACAGATATTCTCAGGGAAATAGATAATAAACCTTTTAGAAGAAAGAAGGAAAAAACTGCACAAGAAAGAAATGGCATTGTCAGTTGGAAATTCCTAAACTAGGGTGTGGGAGCTTCTTTCGGTGTTTAATCAGGGGCACTAGCAATGCCCTTTCTTTGCAATCCCATTTGAGCAGCACGTAGGTGGAAGGCCAAGAGAATTAGGAGTGCTACCTGACAGCTCCCTTTGGTTTTACAGAACTGAAAAAGTCCAAGAGCTCTTAAAGGTATAACTGGAAAGGATAGCTAAGAGCTGTCTTTACCCAGGCTGCCCAGCCCAGGTATTCAAGGTACAAAGAAGACACAGCTTCTGTGCCAACTCTGTCAAACACGTATCATATATCTAGTTCAAGCCATGATTCCTCATACATGCAGGAAATATATTAAAATAGATAACCTCAAAATGGACCAAGAGTTTTCAATATGGTAGACCTTCCCTTGATTGGCACTAGCTTCCAGATCTTCCACTAGAAGACACTGTTGAATCAACATAGCAAATGCACCCAACCATCTCCTCACCAATATGTGCAGTATAGATTACTGACCTTGGATTATCATTCTCTTGAATAGTTCTGAAGGGGAGGCTGTTCCCAATGTGTTTCTTCTTTATCCAGGCCCAACAGAGCAAATCATGTTGAACAATCATCCTAACTTTGATGGTACCATTAATGAGAACCAGTAATACACAGAAACCACATAGAATGCCAAAAAAAAAAATTCTATAATTGAACTCAGATCACTATCATAAGCATTCACTGAGGTCTGGGAAGATCAGATTACCTTTCATCACCAATACCTGGCTTCTAGCCACAGATGATCCAACTGAGACCTCACCCTTCTCCAGCTATCAGGAAACCTGTCTACAGTGACAGACACGGGAACCTCTTCCCACGCCAATTTACTACATCCTATGTCAACAGTGCCCTTGACATCCTTAGACAAACTGCATCCACTCTGCAGAGAATGGATGACACCAAATTCAAAAGATTCTACAGCCTCTTTAAAAAGTCTCCATTTGGAAAAGATATTTTAGCAAAGCTGTGCTTGATGAAGTGAAATGGAATTAACTGCTTCAGTAGTCCAAGCTCCTCAGATTCATTCTAAGGTAGACTGGCTTATTCGCTTCCAAGTGGAATGAGCTCAACAACAATATATCACAGTTAACTGTGATCACAGTGCCATGGAATTTCAGCCAATGCCTGCAGCACACTAAGGTACACTTAATATTCCCCCATCTGTAATCAACCTTTTCTACATTTGTTCCTAATCACAGGATACAGTTTCATTTTAATGAACTGTTTTCTTATCTCATTACAGTTGGTCATTCCATCATGCTTAATGGTGCGTTCGGTAGGTTAAATTACAATTAGGGTCCCTTGGTTTTTGTTTCCCGGCTAGTCTTTGTGGGATTCGATATTTTTTTGTCCCTTCTCATTGCACAGTTTCAAGGACAGAAAAATCAGAAAAAAATCAAAGACAAAGACATACCTGTTGCAGTCAACATGGAGCAGGAGGTGAGAGGCACTCACTGATAGTGCAACCTTGTGCCACTGTCCATCTGCCAGCCTGTATGGAAGTGCCTCTGTCCTGGGCTTCCCATTATGAATATAGTGATACCGAATTTCATCCCGCAGGCCACTGCTCTCTATTTCAAAATAGCTGTATGAAAAGGAATAAAGCTTTGTTTCAGTTTTCTTCTAGATATCACTTTATTGTCTATCCCTACCACCTTAAACCAGCTTTCCCAGCAACTGAAATTAATTAAAAATAATATAAGAGCCATGATCTGAGATCAGTTGTATATGAATCAAAACCACCTATTGTCTGAAAGCCCTCAGAGTGACACCCTGAGCTCACAAAATACAGATAAATTGATTAACTGTGGTAAAAAGCCACAAGCTAATTAGTAAACCCAAGTGCAGTGTCTCACAAACACTTTGAGGTACAATTCAGGATTCTATTTCTATCATCTACAATTGGTCATTCATTTGGAACAGATTTATTAATGCTTATTTTTAGAACCCCTTCTTTACTTTTTAAGTCAAAAAAAGATAAAGAAAAGTCATGTTGAACATCATGGATTGGAATAAGTTATAACCAGGAAGAGAATAATACATCCTTTTATCCTCATAAAGAGCTGTAAGTAAACAGCAATCCCTAGATGATAAGGGGAGATTGAAGCTACACACATATGAAACAGCATTTCAAATTTAAAAATGGAATGAAACATAAATTGAGAATTTTTTTTTCCGTTCCTAAAATTCTCCTCATGTTTTCCACACCCATGAGAAATTCTTACCACCACCCTTCTTCAGACATGAACCAGAACTACTACTTGCTCAGCTGGCAGAACTGCTTAAGTCTCCTATGCCTTTCTTCTGCAATGAGTCCTCAACAATGGATTTGAGCTCATCACCAGACATTATAATAAGCATTTTATATACATTTTCTAAGTTACCACTCACAAAGTCCTATAGGACTGGTATTATTATCCCTTTCTAAACTGAGGTTCTTGGGTTAAATAACACACCCAAAGCAGAAATGAAACCCAGATCTAAGACTGACATTTCATGCATTTTTAATAAGTTTATTATTCATCCTAGGGGCACAACAACCAGATGGCAAGCACAAAAACTCACTCAGACAGCTAAAGAGATCCTCACCTAGACAGGTCACCAGATTTAGTTCCTAGCTGTGGAAGTACCTGCTGTTTCTTAAATCCTCTGAGGTGGTCTGATCCCAGTACCCAGACTGTACTTAATCTAAAAGTCAAAATTCATCCTCTCTCAGACGAAAATGAATGTACTATGAAATTTAGCTTCTATTATGCATGATTCCCAAATCTCATGTCAGAGAACAAATGCATATTTCTTGTTCATCTTTCACAGGGGATCTTGCATAAGGAGCATTTCATGGGAACCAGAGAACCAAGACCAGCTTCCTGCCTACCTCCTTTGCTTTACTATAAAGAATCAATTCTAGGGTCATAAAATGAAGAAATAATTCACACTACAGCAACTAGAAACTGGGTACAGATAGAGACTTATTAGTAACAAAGAATTTAATACATATTATACGAATGAAAATGAGAGAAACTGCAACATAAAACAAATTTGCTTTGGGGGAACGCTCCAATTTTCTTTAAGCAGTTGGAATATTTGAAGAATCAAATCATAAGAAAGCTTAAAAGTCAAGAAAACCTTAAGGACTATGAGGTCATTCCTTAATTTATTCAATTCATGCTTACTGAGCATATATAAAAAGAGTAAAAGAGGATTTAAAACATTAATCCTGTCCTCCAGATGTTGCGAGATGAGTGAAAGGAGAAATAAAACGTCTTTCTCTCCCCATGTTCCCCAAACAACAGCAAACAAAGATATCAAGTATCTTAAGGAACAAGAGAAATTATCATTTAATGAGTGGTTGCCTCATACCAGGGTGGCTGTCTTACACCAAAAATATGCAAAGTACTTTCAAAAATATAATACATTTAATTTCTTTAAAGTATGTAATATACCTTTCTACAGAGTAGTTTACATATAGACAGAAATATTAAATGCCATTCTCAAAATCATCCAAATTCTATATTAGGAAAGTAATACGGTCTTATATCTGAGATCTTAACAAGATTTTCACATCATAAAAAAACCTCTCAATGATTTTATTTTGAACAATAAGTGATTCTCAGGTGAAGGGACTTGAGCTCCAAAGGACTTCAATCAATGAAAGTAGGTCTGCACATAGAGATGACCTGATGAAATTAAAAGAAAATGAATCAAATGCATTTAAACAGATGTAATCATTATTCCTAGGGCTACGGCCTCATTGAACACATGCTCAATACATTTCGAGCAGATATTTAAAGATCATTTTACAAAGTGCTAGAGCAAGTGGTTATCTTGAGATAGTCACAAATATATAGCTTTGAGAAAAGAAATCTGTTCTAACGTTAGGCAAATGGATATTTGTATCTTAGGATAAAATTTCCCACAGAAACATGAGCATATAAAAAATAATATATCTCAAACAATTGGTTGAAAGTCAAGATAATGTGCTTTTGAAGCTATAAGTTAGATAAAAGCTAAAGTGGCCTTTCAGATGAAAATAACACTGCCTGGCCTGGAAAACAGTGTTTCAATGAACAAGAGTATTATTTCCAGAAGTTATCCCACTGCTATTGGAGATGTGAGGCCTAGAACTGACAGCAACTTGGAAAAGGTGATGGCCTTTGGGATTTGGTCATTCCCAGATGGAAGATTCACAATTTGTAGGAGAGCTTTGTTACTCAGAATATTGTCTACGGACCAACCAGTAGCACTGCTACAGAATATATGGAAATTCAGCCCATTGGATCCACTCAGGACTCACTGAGTCAGAATCTAAACTTCAGTAGTCCTGCAGATGATTCACATGCAAACTGAAGTTCAAGATTCATTTAGTTTACACCTGGTGTTGCTTTACTTCCTGGTCAGCAGGTCACAATAAGACCTGCTGGATGATACCTGGAGGATATTGACCTGGAGGACGATACCAAGAGCTATGTGGTGCTAGGGACAGCGCAGGAGCAGCAGAACTGAATCTACACCAGTGTTCACTGATGTCCTCCCTGCTCAGCCCAAGTCCTCTTGACATTTACTTGAGAGTCTGGTGGGGAGAAGGGAGCAGCTGCATGAGTAATTCACCACCAGTAAGTTCTTGTGAGTCGCATTGCTCCATTTACTATTGGGCCTCAGCCGTGTCTGCTGAGCCAGTGTACTGCCACGGGTCTCAGAAAAGCTTACAAATATTTGAACAAAGCAGTGATGTTCCCTTCTTAATACTTTTTTTTCTTCTCAGGTAACCTCAGCTCCATCTAAACTACAATCCCCTCCTGGATATGGATTATGCCCTATTCCTCTATTCAGAGCCTTCTCCGTGTTGGTCACCACTCTCTGGGTAAGACAAAAATGGATTGATTTTCTATTTAAGTATAGCATCCAGGACAAAGGACATTTGGACAAATGTACCTTAATGCAGAGTGTAGTCACGCTATCACCTGTTTGGCTCTGAGCTGTGATCGGCCATGGGTGCATCCTAATACTCAGTTACGTATCATTAGCAAACAACACAAGTCTTCACAAAAGATACTGTGAACACAAATATTTCCCAGCCTATGTGTACAACACTGAGTTTTGTCATCTTGTTTTTTCTTTTATATCGACCCTTTGCATCAGTGCTAGTCAAACTGTACCCACAATTAGCATGAATAACTTTCCAAAGCCAGGCCCAGCACGGTAGCCTAGTAGCTAATGTCCTTACCTTGAATATGCCAGGATCCCATATGGGTCCCAGTTCTAATCCCGGCAGCCCTGCTTCCCATCCAGTTCCCTGCTTTGTGGCCTGGGAATGCAATCAAGGATGGCCCACAGGTTTGGGACCCTGCACTCCCATGGGAGACCCAGAAGAGACTCTGGGCTCCTAGCTTTGGATTGGCTCAGTTGCAGCCATTGCACCCACTTGGGGATTGAATCATCAGATGGAAGATCTTCCATTCTGTCTTTCCTCCTCTCTGTATATCTGACTTTGCAATAAAAATTAAATTAAAAAAAATAATTTTCCAAAGCCTATTCCTTAGCATTTGGCTTAACCAGTATTACTATAAGCTGATGTCACCTATCATGAGCTAACCACATTCCATTGTACGCTTGAGAAAAAAAGAAAAACCTCAGAAATAGTACTTCCAAATAGTATAGTTAGCTCAAATCAAACAAGATATTTTATTATTACACTTATCATTTTCTTCCAAATTGATACCAAGATATTGGTAGACTTGAATACTAAATATACTAAAAATATTAAACGGTATACAAGGGTAAAACAGTATGGTATCGAGTACTATTTCATTAGCAGGACAAAAAGTTTGGTAGATATAATGCCTGTTTTCCAAAATATTCTCTAGTATATATAAACTGCATGGGAAATCTATCACACCCCAGACAGTCCCAGAGTTATTCTAGTACCTACTTATAAAAGTAGCCTCTGTGCCTTGAACAAACAGTTGCTGGTGCGAGTAGGAGAACAAGGTATATCTGGGAAGCATACACACTCTCACTCAATTTCACTGTCTGGGAGGATGTTTAGGACAAGGAGAAAAAAGTCTGAATATCAACTACTTTTTACAAAGAGAAACTCGCCACCACATGTATACAGCGAATATCTGCGTTAGTGAACCATTTTCCCCAACCCTAAAAATCCAAAACACAATGAAAAAAATGAAAAACAAAAGTCAGTTTCCTACCACAAAGCCTAGAATTTTATGCAACATCAATAATAAAGTTGAACTCCTCTTATCAGTCACAATAACAATAATTAACAAAAGCAATCTGGCTAACACCAGTTGTGTAGTAACAGTGCATACTTCAGTATTTACCCTTTCAAGGGAGACTTTGTTTAGGTCTTTATAGTATACATGAAAATAATTCCTAGCACAGATTTGTGAAATGTTTATTGTTTTTGAAGTTTCTTTCACTTACATTCATTTGAAAGGTAGAGTTAGAGAGAAGCAGAGAGAAACCAGGGCTGGGGAGAACAGGGTTGGGGGACTCTTCTGTTTCACTCCCCAAATAGCTGCGATGGTTGGAGCTGAGCTTATCCAAAGCCAAGAAGCAGGAGCTTCAACC